AAAGAGACCAATTAGATTAACTGAAACAATACTCAACCCTCCAATATTATATTTCCAATTAATGGTAAAAAAAAACACATAGATCAATCTGTTAGTTATTTCTTCCAACAAGTAACTATACTATAATATATTTTTAATTATCAATGGATGAAAATGACAGTTGCAATTATTTTCTACTATCAAAATCTAATCCAAAGAGAAAGTCTTCACTATTTCCATGGAAAATAGTATACAAAAGTCAAATTGTTCCAACTATCACTTTCATTTCCTGCTTATTTGCTCATTGTTACGTTTTCTACGTAAAAACAATAGTAAATATATACTAGAAGAACTATTGCTTCTAGACACTTGGAGTTACTTAAAAACGATAAAATAAAATCAATTCGATGGATTAAGCTCTCGTTATGTACAAGATTCAAGGAAACATCGAACTATAAAAGTCTATAGTATGCAGTGTTATCTTATATTAGTGTAAATAAAAGTTGCTTCAACAATTATCTTTCGAATATTGGATTTAACTTTTTGTATATTGACAAGTGAATTTTTTAAAAGGAATATAATTGGTGGAGTTAGTGACTTGAAAAAAAAAAAGGCAAGTAACTTTTATCGCAAATTAAATTATATTGATTGTGTAAAGTATTAATTTCAACCGTACATGGGAGCAATAATATACATATATACTTGGTATATAGTATGCAACTTTTTAAAAATATATATAAGTGCCTAAATTAGGAATTTAAATACACTTACAACAGATATATGGAACAGTACTGGCAAATATTGCTTATTGATTTGGTAGTTTTGTATAGTAGACTTCAATTCTTAGTTCAATTTAGCCTAAGTACACTCTTGCTTTTATGAAAAATAAGATAATTAAATTTCTTGATTGATATGTAAATCAAGTCGATTCATTTTGCCACTAATACTTATATTAGAGTATATAGGTTGTCTACAAAAGCGTATTCAAGATTTGAATTATGCAGGTTCAACCTTTTAAGACTTTTCATATTAAATCCATTATACTTCAAAGTTATGGAATATTTTTATATCTACTATTTGTTGCTATTTTAATAACTTTTTACGTATAAATTTATGCTCCGCGTCAAAAGTTATGGATTCAATTGAACCTGCACCAACAATGATACCTCTGTCCCAATTGTTTGTCTAGATCATACCCCTTCAAATGTGGCTCTTCTCCGTATCCTGTTAATTAACGTGAAATATTTTGTGTATCAGACTGTACTCTATTTTCTTTGAAGCTGCCAGTTTTTATAGCAATGATACGTAATAGAAACGACTTAAAATCTCACTTACTATTTGAATAATGATCCTCTCATTAATTAATACATGAATCCTTTAACGTGATTAACATTTTCGTCAAATGTCAATTCTTGAAAATGAACAAAAAATATATTTTAAGTCAGTTAAATGAGTTTATATATACTTGTCTCCTTGTAGTCAACAAAGCAAAAAACAACTACTATTCTTTTTGAGTAAAATATTCGTTAATAATCCATGACGAAGTTTCTTAGAAGGTTAATTAGAACCATAGTCAATAAGCTATTTTTAAAAGAAAAAATATTTAATCCAAGTTTGTTGAGTAAAACAAACACATTGTTGTCGTTCAAATGTTTTCTCTTTTATTATGGTTACTTAATTAATAATTATTATATTAGAATGCCATATTTTTGTTATCTCATAACAAAGAAAGTGATAATTATAACTATTACTTGAGTCATGAGTGATATCTGAGAAATCAACTTTTTGATATTGTGCTATAATTAAAAGTTTAAGTTATATATATTATTAGTGTAAAACAAATTATTTTTTTGAATTATCAGGCAATTCAAAAAATATATATAAAATAAGTTATCTTTATATAATAGGTGATAAGGACCTAATAGTGTATAAAAATTTTATACTGACGATGTATGTAATTTAAGAGAGAAACTAATTTGCTCAGCATATCTTACCTTCCTCTCAACTCCTTATTGACAAATTTATCTAGTGACATCATTGGATTATATTGTACTCATTCTATAATTAATTATGTTTTTTTTGTTGGAATAATTAATTAAGTTGATTCCAAATTCAATGAAATAAACATTTTTTTTTTTACTTTGAGACTTTGCTAGAAGAAAATGTCATTGTTGTTTATGGGTATAAGCAACCTTGAAGTTAGTCTTGTTGGACATGAAGTCAAAAAGCAAATTGAATTTAAGTTAATCCATTGATAATCTTCCACGTAAATTACTAAATTGAATTAGTTTCCAAATGTTTGAATGACATTTTACTATATTTTACTGTACTTTAATTTCTGGGGAAAAAGCCAATTGTTTTTGACCTGATGGTGTGTGTATATAGGGTTTTACTAGGGGTGGAAAACAAAGTACGTACAAATAATCCTGACCGTCCAATTCGTTTATGTTTGATCGAGTTAATAATCCACTTACTAATTAGGTTTTTTTTTTATCCGCTTAGTTCAAGCTTTTTAAAATCAGGTTAGTATGCAATACAAATTGACTCGTGAGAAATAATATCTAAATATTTTTAAAAAGATAATTTTTTTATTTGATATGTTTTTAATTATCATAATATAAAGAAATTTTTTTATTAAGTACTTAAATAAATTATAAGACTAAAAAACTTAGTAATATTGGACCGGTTGAGTTATATAATCGATTTTTAGCTCATTTCAGCCCAATCTACTTCAGACCCAAAATAATATTTAGGCAGGTCAATAACTCGTTCATTTATCAATTCAATCTATTTTAACATCTGAAATTCTGCCCAACCCACCAATTTGACACCCTGAAATTTTACTATTATCATAGAATTCTTTACTATGTAACGTTCACAAAATGTAAAATTGACTTCTTACTAATTAAGTTCTAATCTGCAACAATTAATATTTTGGGTTTTTTCCACGGTACCATATTCAATATCCACCTTGAAATCCGATTAAATATAGATTTATGTCAAAAAATTCCAAACGTTCCTTCACAAAAAAAAAAAATTTACCCAAGACTCGCATCCAAAATCCCTAATTAATGATAAAGAAATATTAATTACTACTCTACCATGACCCTCGTTGATAACATTAATCCAAAATTACAATGCCATTTTGTTAAATTGAAAGCAGCCATGGAAATATCTAGAAAAAGTCGGCAAGAGTATACGTATGTAAAGAGCTAAACATGTGAAATATATTCAAAGTGTAGATTAGATATAGAGACAAAGCAGTACCTAATACTATACCCTATATACATAGTTTGAAAATGACAAAAATGATAAATGTTTTTTCTACAAATTGTAATTAAAATCAAAACATATTTGAAAGAAAATAAATTTAGACTAATCATCACTTGACATGCATTTTAATTAGGTGCATGTCTACCCTCTAGGGGTGGGTACTTTTTGGATAATTTAGGTATAATATGACTCGTGATAACCTATTAGGCCAAAAGCTTCACAGAAAGCTAGTAATAATAAAAGTTCATGGACCTTCTTCAATTGACACAAACAAGTAAAAAAATTGTTCTTTAGGACCCCTTAAAGTTTTAGGGGAGATAATAACATACTTTATTATGATGTCAAAGCAGATAGAGGCTATCAATTTAAATTTTATGTCACTTTATTAAAAAAAGTATATTTTCATCTATTTGATTCATAAAAAAAAAAACCACACATGAAAAGGTACGCCTAAGATATACATTCTACATCTATCTTATATATGGAATAAATTATCTAGATTATAATATTAATTTTTTAGATATATTTTTACTAATAGATAAATTTAATCTCACAATTTAAATTGGGATAAATCACCTAATCCATAAAATTAAGCTATTATTTAATTTTTTTAGATGAGATGGTGACACGTTTCAACGTATAATTATCTTCCAACAAAAGTTTTTATCTTGTGCCTCATACAAGTTATATATGAGGCAGCTTCAGTAATTTGTTCACAATTGATGAACCCTAACACAAAATATTTAAGTCTATGAATTTATGAAACTAACACAATTCATATTATAATTTTGTGGGACACGAAATAAAGTTTTTCATTCAACTAGATTCATTATTGTTCAATCTATTATAATATAAAATAGTTTCCAAGATACTCAAAGATTCAATAAATTTAAATTAATTAGTGTCCCAAATTTGATGACATAAGTTACATTAAATTTTGGATCTCATTTTGAAGTCAAACCAAAGTAGCTAGATCACAATAATTCGACTTCACTTAAATCATTTAACCACTACTTATAATAAAATATGCACTTTATTTATTATTTTGTAAGGGGAATGCAAAGTCGATTATAGAGAAATAAAAACGAACAAAGGAGTAGTAAAAAATGTTTTGTTAGCTTTTCAACACATCTATATAAAACAGTTATCGAAGATGCATTTCTTGCATAGAGGTAATAAAATTAACCCATGAAAATATAACTCGCTCAACCTGTATATTTGGATTGGTTATTGACTGGTTCATTTATTAGCTCAGCTTATTTCAGGGCCCACATAAAAAAACAGTTGATATGTAGCCTTTTATCTATGAGAAATTTTGTCAAATTTGATATATTATATTTCACCATAAAAAAATAAAAGTTACTAAGAATTAAACAAACTAAATTATGACCCGCCTAAATTCAGACTAATCCGCCCATTTAACCCCTAATTTCCTGTATATATGTCTATGAAATTGACACTATTACCTACTCCTTATTTTAATTCAACCAATATAACAACTTCCTTTTTCTGAATTAAGCCAACAAGGTTCTCTTGGATGACTTTATTACATTCCTTGCCGTGTCAATTCAAGCTTGCTCTATATTAATTAAAATATGACAAAATATGTTTGACCTTATGTAACAAAAATTATACCCATCCAATTATAAAAACCATCTTTTCTTTACTTTGTTATCTCATAAACTTATACTTCTAAGGATTCCAATTCTCTCTATCAAAGATCCAGAATTAAAAAATATATATAAAAAGTTGTCTTTTCATATTTATAAATGGGGAGATATCCATGTTGTAAAGTTGATGAAGATTTAAAGAAGGGGCCATGGACAAATGAAGAAGATGAAAAATTAATGGATTATATTACAAAAAATGGCCATACTAATTGGCAATTAATTCCAAAAAAAGCAGGTTTAAATAGATGTGGCAAAAGTTGTAGATTAAGGTGGACTAATTATTTAAGGCCTGATATTAAAAGAGGAGAATTCTCAATTGAAGAAGAAGAAATCATCATCAACCTACATTCACTTCTTGGAAACAAGTAAGTATATATTATTATGTATTTTAATCTGTTGTAGCAAATAATTTGTCTTAGTTTCTAAGTTGCTAATACTAATAATTAGGCTACTAGTAGTCATATACTCCCCTTATTGTTCCATTTTATATATGGGGTATCATTTCTTTATTGACTCGTTTAGAAGAAAATTTTTTAAGAAATTGTACCTATTGATTTTGGAAAATAATTTAATTTTAAAGTTTTCGTTTTACGGTTATATTGATATGTTTTTACAGTCACAAAGATATCAAGATACGTTTAAGATTACAAGTCTTCTTCTTTTTTATTAAACTCTGTCTCAAAGCAAACTGTGTCACATGAATTGAAACACAAAAATTATATTTTTAAGTTGTCTCATAGTGCTTTAATAGTGTCAATTTATAAAAGTTAAACTCATGTATCAAATTTTCAATTGTAGGTGGTCAAGAATTGCAGCCCATCTTCCAGGAAGAACCGATAATGAAATCAAGAATTTCTACAACACTCATCTAAGGAAAAAACTACTAAGATTGGGAATTGACCCCAGGACTCATAAACCAATTTCTGACCTCAATCTCCTCATAAATCTTTCTCATCAATTTACTTCTAAACATAATATTAATCATCATCTGATGAATAATATTAATCCCTTAGCATATGCTCTTAAATTACAAGCACAAGTCACAGAAATAGCCAAAATTCAACAACTAGTACATAGCCTTTTCACACCCATAAATACAAACAATCCACTTTCCACCAATTTTCATGAAAATTTTGCAACAAGTTCAAGTCATGTTATAACAAATAATGTTGCTACAAACATCCAATTCTTGAATTCTTTGCTAGTAAATTCACGTGGTAATATTCCAAATTTGGATAATTCTACTTCTTGCATTTCAAATTCATCAGAATTATCTAATTATCAAAGTGAATTAAACTCAAAGGTGGATAATTTTGAAGGACTAAGCAACAATTCATCAAAGACACAAGTAGATTATAATAACTCACTTCCTTCACTAATTACTCCTTCTTCTCCAGATCAAGCTAATGATGCTCATGTTAATCAAGATTATGACCCTAATACATTATCACAACTTAATCATGAGGGTATTGATGATTCCTTCTGGAATGACATTTTTCCATAATTTTGTTTTTCTAAACTCTGTTGTATTTAGTTGCTCTAAAATCTTGGTGGATTTTTAATTATTTTGTTTGTTTTGTAATGGGTGAGGAGGTTTTATTTTGGTGAGTAAATATTGTTAAGGACCATAATTTTATGAATATTGTGTAATTTCATTGTGTACATTGTATATATATATATCATCCCACCTTATTTGGAGCTGTTATTTGGTTTCTTTCATCTCATTTTTTGTTGGTATATTTTAAATAGTAAATAATATTGTTGAAATGTTTAAAAGACATATTCTATTTAATAGACTTAAAAGTTAAAATCAACTAACTTAATTTACATCTTGAAGTAATTATTGGAAAGATTAGTCCCAATATAAAATGGGTGGACTCCACATGTCCAACTTTTTTTTAGAACAATGAGATTTATTCCTCAATTTTTTATTATAATTAAAACTATCTTTAGATTGAAGTTTTGTCAAGGGTTGAGTAAAACGAGACGTTTTTTTCAAATGATGAAGGTAGTATTAGATCAAAGTCAAATAGATAAACTTTTTTACTCAATTTTCAAATAACACAGGAAAACAATATTATTGTTTAAATTAAAATAAGGAAAATATAGCAAATAGTCAAAGCAACTTAACAATTGATGAAATTGACATAAGAATCATGAAGATCATGACTCGATCGTGACACTCCACCTAACCCCGAGACCACATTTAGGACTCGATTCTCAACCCTGACCCAAGTCTTAACTCTTGACCAAGACTTAATTCCAAACCCTAACCCCGACCTAGAACAAGACTCCCAACTCGAGAACCAGTTCCCAACCCTAATCTCAAGTTGAGGCAAGGTTCAAGGTTGGGGCGAGTATTTTGTTAGTGTCACAGTCAAATCCAAGGTCAATATTAGGAGTCAGGTCCTGCATCTTGAGTTGGGATCGAGTATTGGGTCCAAGATTAGAAGTCGAGTCCTAGGTCGAGATTTGAATTGTTGTTCAGGTCCAAAGTCAAGGTCGAGAGTTGGATCTTGATCAAGAGTAAGCACCTGAGTCAAGGTTGAGATTCGGGTCTTGGGTCCAATATAGTCCTAGGTTGGTGTCAGGAGTTGTAAGATTGGTAAAGGGTCAGGAGTCAATATCAGGTCGTGGTTGGTACTAGGTTTGGTCGAGGTCGAGTCCTGAGTTGGAATCAGGATCGTGAGTGGATTGGGGTTGAGAGTTGGGTCCCGAGTCGAGGTAGGGAGTTGGGTCCTTCGTCGGGATTAGAGTCGGGTTTTGGGTTGGGGTTAGGAGTTGGGTATAGGGTTGGGATCAAGGTCAAGCCTTAGTTCAATGTGACAATGTTTAGAGCCGAGTGTCGGGAGTTAATATCAGGTCGTGTTTAGGTCTCGAGTTTGGTCGAGGTCAAGTCTTGAGTAAGAATCGAGGTCGGGAGTGGGTTGTGGATGATAGGATGAGAGTTGGGTCCCAAGTCGAGGTAGGGAGTTAAGTCCTTAGTCGAGATTAGAGTCGGGTTTTGGGTAGATGTTAGGAGTTGGGTATAGGGTCGAGATCGTGGTCAGGTTGTAGTTTGATATGACAATGTCAAGAGTCAATATCAGGTTCTGGTTGGGTCCGGGGTTTGGTTTAGGTCGAGTCCCGAGTCAGAATCGGGATCGGGAGTGGGGATGTGGTTGAGATTTGTGTCTCGGGTCGACGTAGGGAGTCATGTCCGATCTTGAGTCGGGATTAGAGTCGGGTTTTGGGTCGAGGTTAGGAGTTGGGTATAAGGTCGAGATCAAGGTTAGGTCCTAGTTTGATGTGATAGCGTCTAGAGTCGAGTGTCGGGTCAGGGTTAGGAGTTGGGTCCCAAGACGGCATAGAGAGTCATATCTCACGTTAGGAATTGGGTCTTGAGAAAGGGTTGAGTGTTTGATCATGAGTACTCTACGTCTGATCGTTAGTTATGGCAGGGGTCAGTTATGGGGTCCCGAGTTAGAGTTAGGCCAGGGTCCAGTTGAGGATCAAGATCTGAGTCAAAATGTAGGTTTAGGTCATGTCTCAAACCAGTGTTGGGGTGAGGTGTGCATCGAGACAGAGGTTCAATGTTTTAATATTTGTTTAGATTATATCTAAATGTTTTTGGGACAACATTTTCTTCTTATTAACCCAACATTAATTATTAAATAAAAAAAATCAGTTATTATTCAAAAAGATATTTTTCTTCATACCAAACATACCTTAACTCTTTACCGAACTTCCTCAAATTTAGATATAAATTCCCTAAGAAGGACCCAATCATCATTTAATTGTTATTAACATATATAAGTTTCAATAAGAAAATATAATGAGTATTTCTTGCTTTTTTGGGGGGTGGGAATTTGGTGGTTGTAATTTATAAGAAGACTAGTGCAAGTGGTATAGTATTATATTATATGCTGTTTATAAATATATATAAATATAGACATGAATATAAATTAACTATAGATCTGAACTTTACATATAAATCTGAAATGTACGGCTTCAAATTCAACTTCAAATATGAGAGAGAAAATTTAACCCACAACCATCTTAAATGTTCACCAGGAGCAGAACTAGCGCGGAGCGTGCGAATTCGGTCGAACTTATAAGTTCAAATTTAATATTTTTCTCAAAATATTCGTTAAATATGAGCAAATTATTTAATTTAAAACCCAACAATTTAAAGAACTACAACTCTGATTGAAATTTAATCTCTCCAAGAAGAACCAAATATATTATGACAATACTCAATTCAAATAAATAATAATTTAGCAAAAATCATCTAATGAAGCTTCAAAATGAGCTTCGATAAAGTTTTAAGCTCAGTAGCTAATGCCTAATGGTCAGGCTTTGGGGGTGGGGTAATATATATATATATATATATATATATATATATATATAGACACTTGTTGAGTTTTAAGTTTATCCCGGATGTTTCACCTAAAATATTTATTTTTCTTGATTTTGTATTTGAACTATCAGATGTGTGAGTTTTTTATCTTAACCGTAACCAAATTTATCTACACCTCAACGATTATTCACTTTTACTACTATATTAGGTGAGAAAAGACAGTCAAACAAGCAATTGAGGTAAGAAAGAAGAATAGTTTCCGACATATCCTACCTTCCTCCCTACCCTTCTATAGGATAAAAATTAAGAATTAATTATGCATTTCTATATTAAATTGTAAATTAATCCCACCAATTAATATTGACTTGAGCTCATTTTCAGTTTTTGTACAATATAATGGCAATTAAAAAAGAACTGATTAATCATATCCGGCTTCAATTACATTTACCAATTAGCGTAAATCGACTATTTGAATACAAAAACCACTAAATTTCCCCTTAAGATATAATTAAATAAATTATATATATATATATATATATATATATATATATATATATATTCTCTTCAGTTTTCTTAGATGAGATGATTATACATGTAGATGTTGTCAACATGGTATAAAAGCTAGTGCGATCTTTAGTACAAACGAACGAACATATATATTGAATTTGCATCATATTTGGCTAGTTTATATCTAAACCAACCTGCTCATTTGTAAACACTGCTTATATTTTTTTTTACCGTTGAACGAAAATTTTGAATCCGTCATTATTTGAAGCATATATATTTAACAAAAAGAAAATCCATGAAAATTATAATTAAATGTGTTCGAATTTGTTTGTCATGAGGCGGCTTGAATATTTTACGTGGACTGCATGGATGGATGCATTTAGGAAATATGATTGATGTTGCTGAATGCTGATGAGGGAACTATCTGAGATTTACCAAACAAGATTTTATAAGTCAAAGTTCAAAATATTATAATTATATTCAAATCAGATGATCAACAATATAATTACCAAATTTATTGGCTGATCATATCTGTGAATTGTGGCAAACATCATGCATGACTTCTATTCGTTGATCTTTTAATTTCAATGAGAATTTGAGTCAAAATTGTTAATTTAAATACAATTTCTGGACTAATATCTAGTCATTACTAGTTAAAGCAATCTAGCTTCATCATGTACATGCGTTGTGATGTAGTGATGCAATTGCTCCATCGTATTCTTAATCAAAGATTTCAGATTCGAATTCGTGGGTACAAAGAAAATTATGTTGAAAGTGTCACCCTTAAAATAAGCTTTATAATGTACGTTCCAAATTTAGTTGGACTTCCAATACAAAATACTAGACATCGAATAGGAAATAAAAAAATAAATTCAATCTAACCTCATGAAAACTAGATCTTCTTGTATCCCTCACATTTAAACCATCTTTTACAAATATCATTTTTATTATTATAATTATTATTGTTAGACATTTATAAATCTAATTTCACAATTCGATGCAAACATCCAATATGGTTGGTAGGCCAAATTTTCGTCATTTGCCTTTTTAATTCACAGTTCTGTACACTCTTTAATTAATAATTCCAACTCGCATCTGTTAATAATAACTAATCGATTTGTTTCTTTATTTCTCATGAAAACTAGGCTTCTTAACTACACAACATATACATACTTGATACTCCCCGTTTTATATTAATTATCACATTTTTTTGTCACGGTCTTTTAAGAAAATATAAATAGTAAGAAGTATTTTTACTAATTTAGTAATTTATTCCTAACTCTTTTTAATGTAATAACTATTATTTTTTTCAAAAATATTTAATTTTAATGGCAAAAAAAAAAGTTAATTAATTCAATTTTGATTTTGTAAATTGACAAATATTTTGGGATGAAGGAATATATATATATACATAAAGCCTACAATCTATGCACCGCTTAACATCATTTCACATCTATTATTTTAGCTAGCGTTTAACCATAAATTTTGAATTAAACATATCTGTTTTGGCATGAAATTTAATTAGATTTTGTAAACTTGCTCAAACCAGTTGTTGGATTTTGACTTTTAATTTTCTCATAAAACTTCAAATTTTAATCAAGTAAAATGTATATTCAAACACAATTTCAAATTATAAAAATCACAACTTCAAAAACTCT